GCTAATTTTGTATTACCCCCTGATCTTGTTTACAATTTGTTTTGTGGCTCCAAAGCAGAAGTTGTTTTACGGCAATTTTTGGTAACCTGACCCTGTCGAGCCTTTCTTAGAACCAGGGACTTAATTTTGCCAAATTTTATTGCGCCCTGGTCTTGTTTTGTGTTTTGTGGCCCCAGAGCAGAAGTTGTTTCACGGCCAATTTCTGTTACCTGACTCTGAAGAGCGTCTTGGAACATTAATAAAAATTCGCACTGATATATCATCACACACCCATAAACCGGTAAATCTTCTGTTAAGCCCCCTTTTCAATCCCCCGCCCCTTATTCATTGGTCCAAACGAAATTTATCATGAATAATGATACACAGTACGGACTATTCGTATTGACTAATCACTACTTTAACACTTCGTGTTGACTGATCCGGTATGGTTTATTCGTCAGATTCTCGGGCTGGAAGTTGGGATTTATCTAATAGGGCGGCATGACTTCCAACTACAGATGCTTGAGATTTTCCACTTAGCGTTCCCACTAGTTATTCATGGAGAATTGAACCAGACCATACCACTGACGACTCCATCCTCTAGTAGGGGTGATGAATGGTCCATTAAAATTTTTAACTGCTCGCAAAATTTTACCTTTGCTCGATTTGCTCGCAAAATTTAAACGAGTGCTCGCTTGCTCGTTGGGAGTTAAAATGTCCTCTAGAGAAACTGAAAACAAAGCTTATTCAAAATTCTAAGGTGAAAAACAAAGAGCATTATTGTATGTTACGGTATTTTCTGGAGAGGTCAATAGTTCAATACTTATGTTCTATTCTCACTGCATACATAATAAGCGCATCACGCAATTTGAGCTATTTCCTTCGGATTCCGCCGTGCTCTGCGTCTTCGGGGCAGGTATGATGCTTTGCGGTCTCTTTGCTTAAATTCTCGTGTTTTGCCTCGATCGTTGTCATTTTGCCCGCGTTCCGGTGAAGGAAGCTTCCGTCGCTGCAATCTACCGTCGACCGGCACCAGCCTTTCATGTCATGGCTGCCCTTCCTGCTCCGCTTGCTCCTGTTCCTGACGAGGCTGTTGCAGAGCCAGCTGGCGCTGTTGAAGCTGCTCCGCCACCAGTGGTTGAGCCTGAGGTATTTTTTGCTTTTCTTTTGTTTCGGTCAGCAAGCCCTGCGAGCCACTCGTTTCTTTGCCACGCGTTTACGTATTTTTCTGTTCGGTATTTTTCTATACTTCCGAATGAAGTCCTCCGTTTTGCTTGCTGGTTGCCACGTGTTTACTCGGGTGTTATTTTTTCCATATGCTAGCGTTTTTGCCGCTTTGTAGCGAGCTTTTTCCTCCCTATGGCGCGGGAGATTAGTCGTATGTCAGGTTTCACGTGTGCTTAGGGTTTTCGCTTCGCGGCATGAGTTTGCTGTTTAATTTGCAGCGTAAGAAGTTTCCCTTTTATTGTTTCGTTAGTTACCGCTTTCAGCGGCTTGCTAAGGTGTTAGTTCATCAATGCAGATTTTTTCACGCTTTATTGCAAGAAGTTTACACCTTAGGGCATAAATTATAGGACCTTTACTTGTCTTAACTCTGCTCGCTCGTTAAACAAACAAAATTATAAACTTATTATATCTATTAAGTTTGGGAAGGAAAAGGAAAGTGACTGCTCGAGGTTTCCGCTTTGTTAGCGAGGAGATACCGCTTTTCTATAGCGAGAAATGGTGGTGGCAAGATGTTCGTATATTTTTGCAATTGGGGGATTTTTCGCTTCACAAACGAGGAGATGCGGCTTTATATTGCGAGGAACGTTGCTCGGTATTGCTACGCGAGGAGATACCGCTTATAGCGACGAAGTTGTGTTAGTGATTGTACATAATTTATTTTTGGGCATATTGGGAGTTTCCGCTTTTCGAGCGAAGGGATACCGCTTTTAGGCGAAGCCTGTTTATCGTTTTTGTTAGGAGATACTGCTTCTTAGCGAGGAGTACTGGTAGCGGATGTGTGTATATTACCTTTGCATAATTGAAGTTTCTGTTTTGTCATAATGAGATACCGCTTTTAGGCGAGGAAATTATATTAGTGGCCATTATTTGTTTATATATCTATTTCATGCGAGGACATGTGGCTTCATGTTGTACGACTTTGGGGGCTATGTGTTTTCCGGCGGTAAGGAAGCATGCAAAAAAAAAAAAAAAAAGATTGAGAGAAGAGGAAGGTAAATGAGATTAACAAGGGAGACAGGAATGTTAGATCGTTATCATACCGTATGGTTATGTCTTTTCCCTTTTGCTCGTAGTTTTCCATTTTATATGTATATTTGAGGGATACTTCTTTGTAGCGAAGTGTCTTAGTCGTGCTGATTTGGCAATGTTTTTTCTTTACGACTTTGGTTGGTCTACTTTAGTTTTTGTTTTAGGTGCTTTCTGTTCCATTTGGACATTTGATCGGCTTCTATGCGTCCCGTTTTGCCACCGTGTTTGTTGTTTTCGTTTCGTTTCTCTTTGTTTGTTTGTTTTTTTAAATTTTTTCTCTCGTCAGTCAGGCTGATGTTCGTTTGGTTGAGTTAGAAAGAAAGGTCCGAGCCCTTGAGCAGGAGAAAACTTTGGAAACTACCGAGGGTACTTTGGTTAACCTTAGAAGATACCTTAACCGTCCTAATAGCGCTTTTGACCGTTTCGAAGTGTTGGACATTTTACAAGCTTTAGTGCGCCTCGCGCGCACCCAAGCACACCAGAAGACTGAAGAATATCCCGCGGCCCTTGACGAGGTATGAGCGAGATGGGACTCTCTCAGTTCCCCCGAGTTGCAGCGTTTATTGCTCGGGCTGTTGGGAGACCCCGTTAGAGCTAAGGTCGCTAAAGAAGCCGCTTCCATACTAAAGTCTGCTTCCAAGACGTCTGGTCAGTCGCACGTAGGCCCTATACGTCCAAGGCTTGGAATACCGTTCGGGCGAGGACCATGTTTCAAGTGTGGCCGCTTGGGTCATTTTGCGCGCACCTGTAGGGCCACTCAGGCGCAGTTTTCGTACGGACGGGGACGTGGAGCCCTTAGTTATGGAGGGCGAGTAAACCCTCGCTGATATACTCGCTTGATGTTTGATTTGCAAGATTTTGTTGACTTGTAATTTCCTTTTTGTTTTATTTTTCGCTGTTAAATAAAACATTTTGCTTGTGTTCATCTTTGTCCATAAAAGCCCTTCTCGTCGTTGACCCTGGGGGACCTCCTATGTGTCTCTGTTCTGGACCTGGTTCGGATTCTGGGGTCAACGACGGGTTGGTTCCCCTGTTTGTCTCCACCTAGCTTTACGGTTTTCTCTTTACTTCCTTTTTCAGACGCGTCATTCTCGTTTCCCCTCGCAGATCTTGGGGGCTCGGGACTCGTATTTACAGTTTCGCGGATCTGTCCCTCTTCGCTCTTTGTCACAGGGAACCCAGCCCGTCGTTGGCCCCCTGGCCTCTCCGGAGATGGTTTCCTCTCGCTCGGAATTAGGTGTTTTGACCAACCTTCGCTTCCGTGACCCGGGTCATTTTATAGCTGGTATGATTCACGAAAGTTTCCCTGTTTGGCAACGTCTTCTGGCCGATCATTCCTGTGCGGTGGATCTTCTCGAGATTCTCCGGGATGGTGTTTGTGTGGAGAATTTTTTCACCCCATTTAGGGGGGATTTTAAGGGGCAGTTCTACCATGCGCAGACCCCTCCTTCCATTCAGATCAAGAACGCTGCTATTTGCGCACAGTTCGCTGATTTTATTTGCAATACCATTGTTCAGTGGGTGGCTTCAGGGGTTTTGTCCTTTTGGGGAGAAGTTGGAGTCGTGTCTCCGCCTCATTTGGTCCTTCCAATTACCATTGAGCCGTCCAAGCCTCGTCTCTGCCACGACGAAAGGTTTTTAAATTTATGGATTAGGGATCTTCCTTTTAAATTAGATCACCTGGCGGATTTGCCCCGGTATGTTTTGCCTGGGCATTTCCAGACGACTTTTGATGACAAGAGTGGCTACCAGCATGTTCGGCTGCATCCATCGTCTGAAACGTACTTTGGGCTCGAGTGCGATAACTTCTTTTTTGTGTTTCGTACGCTCCCCTTTGGTTGGAAGGCCAGCGCCTATATTTATCATAACTTAGGTCTAGTCGTCTCGCATGCCGCTCGCTCCCTTGGGGTTCCCCTGTCACAGTATATTGACGACCGTCATGTGGGACAGCTTTTTGCCTCTCCGATCCGTTCCGTCATTCTTCCAAGCACTCAGAGAGCTGAAGCTGCAGCTTACATTGTGTGTTACATTCTAATCGAAGCTGGCTATTTCATTAATGCTGACAAGTTGCAGTACGTTCCTTCTACGGTGGTCTGTTTTTTGGGTTTTTATGCGATTCTATGCGCCAGGCGTTTCTTATTCCCCAGGATAAGAAGACCAAGTTCGCGACCTTGCGGGAAAGTATTTTGTCATCCTCCTGTGCCAGTCTTAAAACGCTGCAACGTTTCGCTGGCAAGGTCGTTTCTTTTAGTTTAGCCATCCCTGGTTGCAAGCTTTATGTCCGCGAAGTCTTTAAAACAATAGCCCAGCTTACGCGTTCTTCTAAGGCTGCTGCTAAAGTCCAAGGCAGACTCCGCTTTGATGTGGCGCACTGGCGCTTTTTAGACGATTGGTCAGATTGCTTGCCTTGGAGGTCGGAGCAACACTGTATAGTCTCCCTGTTCCGTGATGCCTCTAAACGCTCGTGAGGTGGAGTTCTTTTTAAGGACGGGAGAAGGATCGAGTCCAGAGACTATTGGGTGGATGCTTCGGATGATATTAACTCTCTCGCGGCTAAGGCTTTGGTACGCTCACTCTTGGCTTTCCGAGACCATGTACGTAATTCTAGGGTTGATATTCATGCTGATAATCGAACCCTCAAGGCCGCCTTGGACAGTTTTGGCTGCAAGAATTCATCTGTTAACGATTCTGTCAAGGAAATCTTGGAGTGTAGCCGTCAGTGAGACTTGGCTATTGATGTCCATTATGTTCCTTCCCGCGACAATATGGCAGACGCACCTTCTCGAACGTGTTCGGACCTTGACTGTATGTTATCAGAACAGGCCTGGAATTCAGTGGAGCGCAGATTCGGTCCTCACTCCTTCGATCTTATGGCGTTAGACAGTAACTGTCGAAGGGATCCTTCTGGTCTAATTCTTCCTCATTATTCTCCTTGGCCTACCCCGGCTTCTGAGGGGGTTAACGCCTTTGCGCAGCTCATCCCATTGGAGCATAACATTTACGCTTTTCCGCCTTTCGTTTTACTCGGTCCGCTGTTGAGGTATTTTTTGGATCAGGGATTCCATGGAGCCCTTACTCTGGTGGTCCCGGATTTGCGTCCCAGGCGTTTTTGGTGGGCTCTCCTTCAGTCTGTCGGAGTCGATCGCCTTTTGCTTGGCAGGAAGGGCGACGATGCTGCGTTGCTTTTTCCCTCTCGCTCCACGCATGTCTGGTCGGCGCGACGTCTTCAGTGGGACTTGTGGGCTTATCGCTGTATTTTCTAATTTTTTCCCGTTTACGGTCTTCTGCTAGATTCCGCGACCATGGAAACCAGCCCGTCTTTGTGGTTCGTGTTTGTATCCGAATGACGCAGATGCCAATTTCTGTCAAGCGTGTGGGGTTCCCACTGCGCCCTTGGTGCCAGCTGTTCCCCGTGGCAGGGGTCCTGTGGATGAGAAGGTTATTCAAGAGCGTTTTCAAGAGTTTAAGTCTTCGTTTGAGCGTCGGCCCTATCAACGTCAAAAGTCAGCTCTTGAGCAGCAGCTATCTACGTCTCTCGCATCAGTTTCCCCGCCTAAAACAATTTCATCTTGTACGGTAGACGACGTTATTAAGTTTCTCACTTATAAAGATTCGTCAGGGCGAACAGTGGTTCATGTCCCCACATGTTCCGGAGAAGCTTGCGCCTGCCCCCGCCGTTTAGCCGCTGGCACCGTTGACTCCCTGCTTGGAAAGCTCAGGTCCATCTTTAATAAACTTGGTCGCACCGACCACACTAATCCTATCGCGCATCCTCGCATCAAGGAATACTTGAACTTTGTCCGCGTCGAACAGGCGGGTATGGCTATTTCGCCTTCGCAAGCTGTGCCATTGTTCTTTGTTAAGTTCCAGAATTTAATTGCTCATTTACGGGGAAAAATTGTTGATAGTCAATCATTGTCTAGAATTAGTCAGTATATTTTGGTTAGAGATGCTACCTTTTTTGTAATAGATTTCTTTACAGGCGACAGGGCATCGGATTAGGGTCGCCTATTAGCCAGCCAGGTTTTTAAATTAAAAGATCGTGAGGGTTTCTTGTTGCGTTTTACCCTTTCTAAAACTTTGCGTAAAGACCGCCCCTCGTTCTTTCGCCTTGGTTCCCTTTTGTAAAACAGACGTGTGCCCGGTTAATTGGATAACTTATTATCTCTCTGTGTGTGATTTACTTAAGGTCCGCTTAGCTTCGGGTTTTTTCTTTCGGGCTTCTGACCGCAGTAGAGATATTAGTCCCAGGCCTTTCGTCGGCTCGGCTGTTAATAACCGTCTTCGGGGGTATCTCACCGAGGCTAAACTTCATGACGGTGAAACCCCTCATAGTTTCCGGGTGGGTTTGTCCACTACTTTGAGATTGCTAGGTTGTTCCCAACAGCAGGTTGCACAGTATATAGGTTGGAAGAGTGAGGAGATGGCTCAAGTTACTCCCGTTCGTCTGATGCGGCGGCGTCTCTCACGATCTTCGAGGACGTCCTTCCTAGTGCTACTGGTTTGGTCACAGTGCCTGTGTCTCACCCCGACAATCTGCAACCCGTTTGTTCCAATTGAACGATTTTCACTTTCATCTGTTATTGTTACCCCTAGTCCTCCTATCAGGGTTGAAAGGGATTTCTGAGTAATGGGAGAGGTTGGATTAAAATTGTGTTCTGTAGCTTTTGTTGTGTGGTTTTGTATGTTTCGGGGTGCTTTTTGGGGTCAGTCGGGTAGCTGTAGCGTGGTGTCAAGGGTTGGAGCGGTCTCCTCCCATAACTTAGTTTACCGTGATGTGGTAATGGGTATGCAGTGAGGATAAATTACTATTCTCACTGCATACATAATTAGCGCATCACGCAATTTGAGCTATTTCCTTCGGATTCCGCCGTGCTCTGCGTCTTCGGGGCAGGTATGATGCTTTGCGGTCTCTTTGCTTAAATTCTCGTGTTTTGCCTCGATCGTTGTCATTTTGCCCGCGTTCCGGTGAAGGAAGCCTCTGTCACCCCACCCTCCTCCCCTGGTGCCGGTCGACGCGGCTACGCTAAATTCCCGCTGCGTACCTTAGTTGCCACAGTTGTCGCGGTCTCCTCCCATAACTTAGTTTACCGTGACGTGGTAATGGGTATGCAGTGAGGATAAATTACAATCTTTTTGGCGAATACATTACTGTTTCATTATGTTCCCAAATAATGGAAAGAAAATGAATGCATTAACTTTCTATGGTGATTATTAGCATTGTTATTTGTGATTTGCATGTGACGTCACGGTGGCCACGTTAGTGTACAATAACAATAGACTTTATCTCCATTGGGCTGCATTCATTCTGTATACTGCAGGTGGGGGGGGGGGGGAGCAGAGGATGATGTTTTTTAAGGGGCAAAATTTTTTACGATCCCCCCACATCATACAGAATTTTTTGACAGCCCCCAACCCCTGTCTTGACCAAAAGAAAAATGACCCACTACTCAATCTTGACGAGGAAAGTAAAATATAGGCAATATGATGAAATGGTGGAAAGATTTATGTTTAAAGAAAAGAAGATAACCAAAGGTTCACAGATTTTTTTAGGCTCGATTTCTGCCACTCTCTCGGTCCTCTCTGAGAAGGGACTGTTTGGGGCAGGAGTGTAGGCTCATTTCGCGAACAAGCACTCTTCGTTCTTGAGGCCCAAATTCCATCTCAAAGCACTTTGGCAACTGAGGGAACTGACTACCTTTAGTGGGGATGCTCTTGAACATGTAGATTGTGCTATTCATATTTTTGAGAAGCAAAGTGTTGAAAATGTTGTTAATGTTGTTGATGATGATGATGATGATGATCATCATCATGGGAACGATGATGTTGTTAATGCTGCCTACGATGGTGATGATGATGGTGCAAATAAAGAGCTGGTACTAAGAGATTTGGTGACTCCTCTTCCCTTTCCAAAAAAATTTGAGATCCCCCCCAAAAATCCTCTGATCCCCCCTTGTGGTATATTTTATGAATGCAGCCTTGGGAAGTCCATTTTCATTCAAGTTTTCTCTGATAAACATTTCCTGTTGTTTTGAGCACCAACATGGCCTCCCTGTCCTGTGAGTGCAAACCAAGAGTAAGTTTTATAGCACCTTCAATTAAAAGACTTGTTTCCATTTTTCTCAATGGGAAGTGAGATGAGGGTATTGTATTTTTGTCATTGGTGTTGCAAGTGTGAAGACACAGGCTCTCCAGTTTCTCTATAAGCTGTTAAAATTTGAAACCAAATCTGTTCTAAATGTTTTCTTTTGATAAGAGATTATTATTTCTTAATGGAAGTACAACTCCAAACTCAAAACCTCACTTACTAAATGGCTCTAGAAGTGAACCGGCAGTAAAATAGACACATCATGAAAAATAGGTGAGCCATTTTCACTTCGAATCTTCTGAAAATACGACATTTAGAATATTTAGAACAAATTCTGTTTACTTTCTTACATTCTCTTAAAAAAAACTTCAAATTCCAACGGCTCATAGACGGTCTGGGCGGCCTGTGGCAAAGCCTGGGCTTTTATCACTCCTACGGATACAAAATGGATGATTACTAGCTGATGGAAAAGTGATTTTTCACATTTGTCATTGCTTTGTTAACTTGGAATTGAGGGAACCCGACCTATGTGTGTATATGTGCCTTGGTAGCCGCGAAATGCTATAAGGTAGGTACATACATACGCAATAAACAGTCAAGATAATCATACATTCGAATTAAAAGTTGATTGAGGGTTAGGGGCTTCTTTTGGCATGTATTGTGCAAGTGTGGTGTTTGGGATCAGTCGACATCATAAAGTGATGAACCATAGTTTTCTTTAACTGCCAACTATATTTATGTACTGAACTGGAACTAACCTTTTCCTTTTTAAAAGTCTCAATCACCTCCTCAGAAACTCCTGTCGCCTTCAAGAATTTAACAACCTTGAAAATGTAGCTGATGTATTAATGATGATAATATAAGATATTTCTATCCAACGATAAGATCATAAAGACACAAAATTTTGTTTTTACCTCGTTTGATTCGCTGGAAGACCCCGTCGACTCCGCCATCTTTAATAGCCGATGAACATTGAGTCCCCAGTACTTTTCAAGGATGCATCATGTGCGAACTGGAACTCAAACTCAAACTCAAACTCAAACTGGAACTGGAACTGGAACTGGAACTGGAACTGGAACTGGAACTCAAACTCGAACTCGAACTCGAACTCATACTCGCACTCGAACTCGAACTCGTAGCTGAACTCATAATATAAACTTAAACTCGAACTCGAACTCAAAACTCAACACCCCAACTCTAACTCAATCTCTAACTGCAAGTCGATCTCAAACTCAGATTTTCAGAAAAAAAAATTAGGTATATTGATGTCCCTTTGAAGCCACCGTACGATACACAATCATATACTCCAGTAAAATGGGGAAAGTCGCGAGCAGAATTTATTTCACTGGAGAATTTCAGTCTTGCGTCACAGAAAACACCTGCGTATAAGAACCTAGTAGTTTAAAAACCTGCTGGCAGAAATTGTCCACTTTAATTTACCCAAACATAAAAGAACCTGTTTAGGCAAGCAAGATCAAGCAGGTTCTTATATGTTGGTTAAAGTTCAATCATTGCTTTCGAGGTACGAGAACGCAACCTCTTATTTCTGTTGGGTGTCCTATTCATTATTGGATGTCATGTGCAATTGATAAGGGAGGTTTTTTCGAGATTGCATTTGTGTCGACACACATTTGCCTCGCTTTGAGGCGCTTGCTTACGGTTTGCCTCTCTTTGACGCGCTAACTCACGTGGTGATTCGTGCGTCCTCGGCGTTCATCTTTCAAACGTTTGCTGAGGTCTGCTATTCTGTCTTCGTAAAGCGTTCACCTTTTAAAAGCCGGTGCTGAATCTTCGTAAAGCTTACATATTTAAGAGTTTGCTGAAGGTCTGCTATAGATAGATCTGTGTTTAATAAATCTTCCAAAGCGTTCATCTTTCAAAAGTTTGCTGAACGTTCACACCCTGAGTGAAATTTTACTTTGGATTAAGCCTTCATATTTTTCTTTGGAAAATGCGTGCGATTCCTGGTACATGCATCAGATCGGGTTGTTTAGCTCGGCGTCCGTCGTGTGCCGCAAAGTAAATTTACGGGCAAGTTGTGAAGCTCGGCGTCCGTTGTGCCACAAAGTAAATCTACTGAGTTGTGTAGCTAGCATCCTCGGAGACCCAGGGGCAGTCAGTCGGGCCGGGTTAAAAGGCCTGACAAAAGTTTTCAAGCACAGGCGGAAAAGCCCCTAGGTACCGACTCTCACCGGACCATTTCCAAACGGTCAAGAGAATGCTTGTTCCTGATTGGGCACAAAAAATGCTTTGTATTATTGTGCCCAATCGGCGAACAGCATCTCCTGAGTTCTTTTCGTGAGTTCATACACGACGGCTATTATCTCACAACAGTTGCCCGGTTCGTTCACCAAGCTTTCCTAACCAGAAACGAAGGAACTACCGATGAGTCGAAAAACGTTTCGGATGCTATCGGCAGCAGCAATTTAATTTGCACTGAGAAAATTCTGTTTCTGACGGATCACAATTTATCGTAAATAATAGGAAGTTTAAGATGAAGCGGCGACGAGAAAGTACAAAACGTAATAGCTTGACAAGTCTGACAAGGCAAAACAAGAACTTTGCACGTGCATCACACTTTTTTGTATATTTTCTTTGCCGTGACTGCACGACTACCCCGTGAAAATGCCTAATTTCACGTTTTGTGAAGGACGTAAACAAGCAATGACAAAATCTTCTTTCTCTTTATGAACCTGGATATCGGGTTGATAGAAATTCAGCTCCAGGAGAGTTCGCTTGCATTTGACAAAGTAAGTGAGTGGGAATTATCACG